GCTATCACAGCTGCTTCCCATTGTCTAGGTTAGGAAGCTGGAGTCAGATGTTGGAGCTGGAAATCAAACCCAGCCACTCCGATGTGGGAGATGAGTGCTTTAACTAGCATCTTAACCACTAGGTTAAATACCTGCCCCTTAAATTCCTTCTTGGGGGGCTGGCATTGTGGTATATCAGCATAGCAGGTAAAGCCATCACGGGTTCAAGACCAGCGGCTCCACTTCCAATCCAGTTCCCAGCTAATGCAGCTGGGAAAGCAGCAGAAGATGGCCCAAGTGGTTGGGCCTCTGCCCATGTTGGGAGATCTGGAAGAAGCTCCTGGTTCTTGGCTCTGGCCTGGCCCAGCCTCAGCTGTTGTGGTCATTTGAGGAGTGAACAAGTGCATGGAAGATCCTTCTCTCTCTGTATCTCTGCCTTTCAAATAAACAAATAAGTAAATAAAATTTTTTAAAAACTCCTTTAAAGCAAATTGGGATCACTTTATTAGTTGGCAACATCACTATTTTTTCATTTGCAAATCAGTTAAAAATGAATGTTTCCAATTACCTGTTACTGTTTGCATACTTTTCATATATGGTAGTGAGGTAGACATGTTTAAAGCAATTGTGGCACAAATACAAAAATTTGTGGAACAATGAAATTAAAAGATAAGCCTATTTTGGTGTAATTTTGAAATCTATGCAGCTTTTTCATAGTACACATTGTCCACAAACTTTTGGCCCAGCAAATCCAAGCATAAAGAAACTCCTTGGTCCAGCTGGACTTTATGCCCAGGCTTTCTCAACATCCTCCTGGGGGAGTCTAAGATTCCTTTCAGGTTACCTACTTTCTGTGTGCTCAGGATTCAAAATATGGAAAATGTTTTCTTTTGATCTTTGCTTGGGTTTGACTGTGTCTCCCAAAATTTCATGTGCTGGAAACCTAATCCTTACATTCCTATGTTCATGGTATTAGTCTGGAAGTAGCAGGTTCCATTTGTTGCTATCAGGCAGGAAGGGAGGTTACAGGGAGTTGTATGATGTATAACTGGGTCTATGGATTGCAAAATATCATCTGCTAGGCTAGTATAGCTCATTTCGATTAACGTCATTATTAAGAATTCCAGGCACAGAGAATTGGAACTGTTGGAAATCTACTTCATAGAACTGAGAGCTTGTAGCTTAGAGTTTAATAGGATAGAAGTGGCACCAATCATGCAAGTACAATTTCACCGCCTCCAAGATCTGTGCGTGTAAGATATATAGGACTGACTGGAGGGCAGAGCAAAGAAAAAAAATATGAGTCCTGGGAAAGCTGTGAGAAGCTTTGAAAGCCAGAATACCCAGGGAATCTCAGGGAGTGACTGGTATAAGGTTACACTCAGCCTCAGCAGGAAGGAGCATGACCACCATATTAACTCTTTCCTCAATGGAAACTAATGACTTGGGAGATTTTCCCAGAGTAGGGAAAAAGCGTTAGCACTTTAAAGTGGAAACAAATGAGTAGAAATAATCTTGTGATGACTGTTTCCAATGGAAAGCAAGTTTTTTTTAATTTTAAAATTAATTTATTTAATAAAAAATTAATTTATTTCAAAAACAGACAAAGAAAGATAGAGAGACAAAGTGAGATCCTCCCATCTGATGTTCACTCCCCAAATGCCTACAACAGATCAGGCTGGGTAAAGCTGAAGCCATGAGCCTGGAACTGCACCTGGGTTTCCTACATAGCTGGCAGGGCCCCAACTACTTGAGCCATAACTGCTACCTCCCAGGGACACATAAGCTAGAATCAGAAGTCTATAAGGGACAGTAACCTACTCACTCTGATAAAGGATCGTAAGCAGCAGAATTTTTTTTTAAGATTTATTTTATTTATTTGAAAGAGTTACAAAGAGAGATAAGAGCCAGAGAGAGAGAGGTCTTCCATCTGCTGGTTTACACCCCAAATGACCATAACAATGACAGCTGGGCCGATTAGCTCCAGGTATCCCTTGTGGGTTTGGGGGGCAAGGACTTGGACCATCCTCTGCTGCTATCCCAGGCACATTAGCAGGGAGCTGGATTGGAAGTGGAGCATCTGGGACTCGAACCAGTGCCCATACAGGATGCTCGCACTGCAGGCCATGGCTTTAAACAGCTGTGCCACAGTGCTGGTCCTGCAAGCAGCATCTTTTTGTTTTTGTTTTTTAAGACTTATTTATATATTTGAAAGACAGAGTTACATAAAGAGAGGAGAGGCAGAGAGAGAGAAAGAGGTCTTCCATCCACTGATTCGCTCCCCAATTGGCCACAATGGCCAGAGCTGTGCCGATTTGAAGCCAGGAGCAAGGAGCTTCTTCCAGGTCTCCTATGTGGGTGCAGGGGCCCAAGGACTCGGGCCATCTTCTTGCTGCTCTCTCAGGCCATGAGCAGGGAGCTGAATTGGAAGTGGAGCAGCTGGGACTCGAACCGGTGCTCATATGGGATGCAAGCACTGCAGGCAGTGGCTTTACCCACTACACAACAGCACCAGCCCCAACAAGAAGCATCTTAACCACTAGACCAACCATCTGGTCCCTGGAACGCAGCTTTGACAGGGTTCCTAGAACGGGTCATTGCTGTGGGGCCATGCAGTGTTCAGTGACACTGAAATACAGAGCATTTGTTGGTGCCCACCTGTCTGGTTTAATCTAGTGAAAAGCTATGGCAGTGGCTGACTCCAATTATTGCATAACTAACCCTGGCAGCTCTGACCAGCTGGTGGGTGGGAGGGAGGGTTCGCTCTGGGAATCCTTTCTTGGGGAACTTTGCACTTTCGGCTGCCTCTGGGATGAGCAACACTCCCTATTCCTTGTAAGTATTAAGTAAGTGTGGTCATACAAAAGCACAAGCCCTTGTTCCCCAACTGTCGGCTCAGGCTGCCTTAGCAAAGTGCCACAGACTCGGCAGCTTAAACAGAAATGTCATTTCTCACAGCTCTGGAGGCTGAAGTTCAAGATCAAGGTGTGAACAGGGTTGGCTTCTCCTGGCATCTCCTCCCTGAGTCCCGACGTGGTCTTCCTCTATGCCTAATGCACTCCTGGCATCCTCTCTGCCTGCATTCCTCCTTCTTATAAGGACACCCAGTCCGTAGCATCAATTTTCCACACATACAGTTAAGAATGGTCAGACAGTATCCTGGGCCTGCTTGTAGGATTTACACGAGATGAAACAAACAGAAAAGTTCCAGTCAGCATGTCTTGACCTTGGGGAATGAGATCAGATTTCAAAGTAACCTCCGGAAGCCAGAGAAATGAAGAGAAGAAACCAGCCTGACATTCTGCTTAGTTAGATCTTGACTTGTTCCAGAAGGGACCCCAGAAGAAACTCCCAGGTTAATAAGGACACAAAAAATATCCCGAGTATCTTCTCACTGCCACCCCTAGCTTCTCTGGCATCTGTCAGCACTGGCCTTCTGAGGATGGGAGCATCGGAGAGGCAGCAGTCAGAAAATTTTTCAAGCCAGAGCTAGGGGATTACCCAAGTTCCTGTGGTTTCTAGGGTCTCTGAAAGAGGCAACGTGCAGACTGGTGTGCTGGGCATGCTGGTGAAGAGCTATGTTCAGGAGAATTGTCATCAATGCATGATGACATTACCCACTGGAAAAAGCTGATTTCAGCATTCAATGATTGATGGACACTTAGTAAGCATCTATTATATGCCAAGTACTATGCTGGTCACTTGAGACTACGTTGGTGTACAAGTGACTAGTCCTCTTTTTCCTTTAATATTTGTTTTATTGTGAAAGGCAGAGAGATGGAGACAGAAACAGAGACAGATCTTCATCTGTTGGTTCACACCCCCCACCCCCATGCACCCTCAATGTCTAAAATAGCCATTGCTGGACCAGGCCCAAGCTGGGAGCCAGAACTCAATCTGAGTCACACATGGGTGGCAGGGACCCAAGTTCTTGAGCCATCATGTGCTGCCTCCCAGGATGAGTACTAGCAGGAAGCTGGAACGGGAAGGGGAACCAGGATTCCATCCCAGAGACTGCACTATGGGATGCAGGTATGTAGTAAACTCTGCTGGAAATACCTAACTCCTGTAATAGTTACAAAGGCCACTTTAAGGGCTGGCGCTGTGGCTTAGTGGGTAAAGCTGCCGTAATGACATTCCACAGGGGCACTGATTCGAGTCTTGGCTGCTCGACTTCACTTCTGATCCAGCTCCTTGCTAGTGTGCCTGGAAAAGCAACGGAAGACGGACCAAGTGATTGGGCCCCTGCCACCCACATGGGAGGCCAGGAAGAAGCTCCTGGCTCCTAGCTTCGGATTGGCCCAACTTCAGCTGTCGCTGCCATTTGGGGAGTGAACCAGTGGACAGAAAGTCTCTCTGTGGCTCTCCTTCTCTGTCTAACTCAGCGGTCCAAATAAATAATTAAAAAAAAAAAAACCATTTTACAATAGTGGAAACAAAAGCAAAAAGGTTGCTTGTGACTTTCAAATCTACACAACAAAAAAATGAAGCCAATAATTTAACTTAGGAATATCTGATTGGCTTCTGAGTTTCATGCAGATATAAACCAGACTGTTTTTTTTTTTTTTTTTTTTTTTTTTTTTTTGACAGGCAGAGTGGACAGTGAGAGAGACACAGAGAGAAAGGTCTTCCTTTGCCATTGGTTCACCCTCCAATGGCCGCTGAAGCCGGCACACCGCGCTGATCCGATGGCAGGAGCCAGGTGCTTCTCCTGGTCTCCCATGGGTGCAGGGCCCAAGCACTTGGGCCATCCTCCACTGTACTCCCTGGCCATAGCAGAGAGCTGGCCTGGAAGAGGGGGGCAACCGGGACAGAATCCAGCGCCCTGACCAGGACTAGAACCCGGTGTGCCAGCGCCGCAAGGCGGAGGATTAGCCTATTGAGCTGCGGCGCTGTCTTAAGTTATTTGAGCTAAGCCTTTTTCTCTAGCTGTTTAGATATGCTGAGATCCCTTATAAAAGTTTATCTAAAGACCTAACAGCAGGAAAAAAAAAAAAAAAAAAAAGGAATGCCTGTGTGCATCAGTTTTGCTACAGTGTTTTGTCAAACTTTATTTTAATCTCTGCCAAACAAGCTGACAGGCATCATATACTACTATATTTCTAATTATTTAATTGTGACTTTGTGTAATTATTTAATTGTGACAGTGTAATGATTGTGATTTAAAAAATTTATGAGTGAAGATGAACATCTTTTTATTTGATTGTTTATAGCTCTTGCCTATTTTCCTGCTGAACTGTGGTCTGTTTTTATTTGTTGAACTCTTTATTTAGTGGAGCATAAGCCTTATGACTCTAATGAAAATAAAAAGCGTGTGAACTAAAAAACTGTAAAGTTAAAAAAAATAAACTCTAAGGGAGCTTCCAGATGGAGTCTCAGACAGGGAGGAAGGGAAGTAGCATTCAGAGAGGCAGCTGGGAAGAGGCCAAAGGGTACCTGCACCACCTCAATTTTCTCAGCGTTGGAAGTGATCTGTAATGAAAACCAGAAAGATTAATAACTGAACGTGTTTCGCTTTAACATCAAGTCTTCAGAGCACAGCCTCAAGTGATCTCAGAAGTCCAGCTAACTCAAAACACCACGAAAAAACGTGACCAGAAGAGAAGGAACACAGCACGCTGTTAGCCCTGGCGTCACGGTGCCATTTTCTAGTCCCCAGAGTGAGGAACAAGGGCCCCAACACCTCCCCACAGCTGCCTTCCTGCTTCCTCCTGCGTGTGATCTTCGTCTTGTAGCGCACACCTAGTTTCTCCCCAAGCTGTTTCAACACCCAGAAACTGAGACGGCTTCCTCCCGCCGTTAGGTCCACCGGGTGAGAACCGTCCCGCCACGGCTCTGACCGAAACGCGGCGCTCGGCGGGTGCTCAGAGCAGCCGGCTCTGGGACTCCCCGCGGCCGCTCTCAGAAAAGGCCTCGAGTTTGTTTTCGTGCCGCCGGCCTTCGTTGGCGTCAGAGCCCAAGGTTGAAAAGGGCGTTAACCCTTGTGGGGGACAGTCACAGTTTCGGCTCCGAAGTTAAAACAGCCCACAGAACCCAGAGAGCTTGGCTTTCGGCTGGAGAGCAGCAGGCTCGGCGCACCCGGCACGCCGGAGCGCCCAGCAAACACGCACCGCACCGCGGCTTCGTGCACGCTGCAGGGGTACAGAAGGCGCCTTCCCGGCCGCCCGCAGAGCCCTGCGCCCGGAGCGCGGGCCTCAGACAGGGGACTCCCCGCTCCACGTGCACTCGGGCGGGCTGTGAAGCGCCCTCTGTACATCTGGTGCTGGCCTGAGTCGTCACCTCTAACCAGCATGCCTCCCCGCTGCCCCGGGTCCCGGGCGCCGCGGTCCCCACCTGCCTTCCACGTCCACACCGGCTCCGCTGCCTTCCTCGGGCCCGATCCAGCACCGGGCGCGGCGCCCCGCGGAGCGGGGGGCGGGGCCGCGGGGCGGGACGCGGTCCGGCGCGCGGCGAGGAGAGGGGCTCGGTGCGGAGCGGCGTCCGCGGCTGGAGCGGGGGGCGGGGTCAGACGGCGAAGGGGGCGGGGTGGAGGGCGGGGCCTGGTCCCGGTCTCAGAGGGAGGAGCTCCGCACGGGGGCGGCTCAATTTGGGCAGGAGCGGAGCTCGGGTCTCAGGCCGAAGGAAGGAGGCGGGGACAAGTGCGGGGACCAAACTCAGGACGGGAAAGGGAGAGGCGAATCTCACCGGTGATTGGTATTCAGGGCACGCCCAGTGGGCCTGGCCCGGGGCACCGTTCCGCGCGCCGCGAGAGGGGCGGGGCCGGGCGCTGGGCGGGGCGGGGAGCGGGACCCGCCGCGCCGCTCCCCCGGCTGCGGCCGGCTGGCTTGCTCTTCAAGTGGCGCGCAGTGGGGCTAGCGGCCGGCGAGGAGCGGGGTGGCGGGAGCAAGAGGAGGGCGTGCGGAGCCTGGTGTCCTGTGGCGGGAGCCAGGGTCCTGTCCCTGGGCCCGCGGAGGAGGGCTGGAGGTGGCGGGGCCCGGCGAGGCCGCGATGAAGCGCGGCAGCGAGGACGCGGCGGCGCCCGCGGGGGACCCCTGGGCGGAGTGCTTCGAGGCGGCCGTGCAGCTGGCGCTGCGCGCGGGACAGGTGAGCGCCCGGCCCGGCGGCGCCACGCCACGCCCCCTGGGGACCCTGCGGCTGGAGCGCAGTCTTGAGTGGGGTCGAAGTCCTGGGCACCCACGGGGCGCGCAGGCCGAGGAGCTGGGGCGTGACCGGGGCGGCAGCCCTGGCGCTGTTCTCGGACACGCCTTTTCTTTCCCGCGCACCGCCGGCGCCGCGTGGTCGCTGTGGCCGCTTCAGCCCCGCTGGGAGCGCGCGGGTGGGACGCCGAGGGCCCCCCGGGCTGGACCCCCGAAGCCGGACGTGGTTAGGGCCCTCGAGCTGGTCCAGCGGGATGCGCGCCAGGAGCAGCTCCAGGCGCTACTAAGCTACCAGGGGCGGGCGTGATCGTCTCCCCGCGCGCTCTGACCCCAGACACACTACAGCCCACAGCCCAGAGCGGCTCCGCTCTGACTGGCACGGACTCCGTGCAGGGCGGAACTTGTTGGGCTGCCCGGAAGATTGAAAATCAAGCAACAGGGCTGAGGCAAAGCAGCGGCTAGGGTTAATAATGAAGTGAGCTCCTTTCTCCTTTTCCTTTTTGTGTCTTGGCTTTCAGCAGTGTCCGAGGCCGAGGAGGTCCCGTCAACGTGCCCGGGGCTGTCAGGGCCGGGTTAGGCACACCCCGTGGTGCTTTGCTTAATTAAGATTGGTAATCATTCTGGCCCTGTGGGGACGGCAGGAGTGGTGTGGGCAGAAGGGCCTTTTTAACGGAGCTGCATTGTGTTTGCAGCTCTCCCAGCCTGAGCACACTCTAACTCACGCATTAGAGAGTGGTGTGGCTTTACGCTCTGGCTGCACGGCCTTTCCCGCCTGTGGGAAGGGGAGGACCCCAACCCTGGCGCACAGCTGTTGAAGCCCTGGCCCTTCTTCTTCCTGGAGAGCAGAGCCCGGCTCCCCGCCCGCCCCCCCACACCTTCCCCTCCTTGCTTCCCTTCCAGGGCCAGCATCGTCCGGATGTTCAGAAACTTTGACGTTCCACCATAAAACTTTTTTTTTCTTCCTTAAGGCTTTGAGGAAAAGCCAGCTTAGGATTCAGATACTGCTGGAGAAACCCTGATGAGCTAAGTCAGGATTTCTATGGTTTTCAAATCTAGATCCTTGAAGAAGGGGTGTGTGTGTGTGTTTTAAAACTAACAAATGTTCAAACAGAGCTTGTGATGTGGCAGGCACAGTTCTGAGGGGCTTATGTGCCTTCACCTATTAGAGAGATAGTTTGTGTTTTTGCAACTTGCCAACAAGAAAAGCTGTTTTAGGAGAGCGGGAGGGGGAGGAGAAAGGCTTCAGCCTTGAGAAGTTGGGCCAGGAAGCCCTGGGCGCTGGGGCCTGCTCTGGGTCATTATGTGGGTGTTTCCTGCCTGCTGGGCAGTGGTGAAAGAGTGGCCAGAAGAATCTGTGGCTGGTACAGACAGCAGCCACACAAGGGTGTTGCAACCCGTGTAAAGAGGGACTCACCTTACATGGCTGAGGCAGTAACCCATGCTGAGAGCCGGCCTTTAGCCTGAGAGCTCATGGGGGATGCATCCAGTGGGGGTGATCTCTCTCTCTCTCTTTTTTTTTTTTTTTTTTTTTTGCTCAGCGTTGGCAGCGTTACTGTGGCCCCAAACAACCACCCTCCCACCAGTCCCCCCACTCTGCTGTTGTATCGTCAGCTGCTCTCAGCTGCTCCTGAGTCTGGGTTCTGTAAGCAGAAAGTTGGGGAAGCAGAGGCCAGGATCTCCCAAGAGATCAGTGTCTGCTCCCCCAACTCTCAAGCTGGTTCCAGGCCAGGCAGCCCTCGGCAATCTGCTGCTACAGCCCTGGGGTGCCACCCTCCCCACAGGGCCTCCCTGTTCTCTTCCTGACTCCGCCTCTGCTGCCCCTCCAGTCCCAGCCACACCCCCTATTGCAGGAGCCTCCTCCCTGATTGGGAGTCTTTGGAGGAAGGGATCCTCGAACCCAGAACCCCACCCTGACCACCACAACTGCAAACAACACTGTTTGCTGAATCAGATGTTTATCATCCTGTATGTGACAGGAGGACAAAGGTCTCTTAGCTATGTGTTCTAAACTTTGTTGGAGTGGATCCACGTTGCATTGGGCATCGAAGGTTGGTTCATTCTCCAAATGCCTACAACAGCTGGGACTAGGCCAGGCTGATGCAAGGAGCTGGTAACTCAATGCAAGTCTCTCACAAGGGTGGCAGGGCCCCAAAAACTTGAGCCATCATTGTTGCCTCCCAGGGTGTGCATGAGCAGGAGGCTGCAATGAGAAGTGGAACCAGGACTGGAACCAGACACTCCAGTATGGGCTGCTGGCATCTTAACTGCTACACCAAACGCTTACCCCTCAATTTTCTTTTATATATGAGTACTTCAAAAAGTTCATGGAAAATGGAATTAAAAGAGAAGTTTATTGTGGTGCAGAAATACTTTGAAATTCATGCATATACAAGGTCCTCAAAAAGTTGATGGACAATGTACATTGTGAAAAAACTGCATGGATTTCACAATTTTTTTGCACCAAAAATAAACTTATCCTTTTTTTTAAATTGTCTTTTCTCTCTGGCTACTTTATTTATTTTTTAAAAATATTTTTACTTATTTATTTGAGAGGTAGAATTACAGATAGTGAGAGGGAGAGACAGAGAAATGTCTTCCTTCCATTGGTTCACTCCTTACATGGCTGCAACGGCCGGAGCTGCACCAATCCGAAGCCAGGAGCCAGGAGCTTCCTCCAGGTCTCCCAGGTGGGTGCAGGTACTCAAGGACTTGGGCCATCTTCCACTGCTTTCCCAGGCCCATAGCAGAGAGCTTGATTGGAAGAAGAGCAGCCGGGACTAGAACCGGTGCCCATATGGGATGCTGGCACCGCAGGCGGAGGAGCAACCCACTGCGCCACGACCCCGGCCCCATCTTTTTTTTGTTTTCAACTGTCTCTCTCGCTTTCTCTTTTTTATTTTTTTTTAAGATCTTATTTATTTGAGAGAGTTACAGACAGTGAGAGGGAGAGACAGAGAGAAAGGTCTTCCTTCTGCTGTTTCACTCCATAAATGGAGTCAGCGGCTCGAGCTGTGCTGATCCAAAGCCAGGAGCTTCTTCCGGGCCTCCCACATGGGTGCAGGGGACCAAGGACTTGGGCATCTTCTACTGCTTTCCCAGCCCATAGCAGAGAATGACAGAGATCTGTATTGGAAGAGGAGAAGCCGGGACTAGAACTGGCACCCATATGGAATGCCGGCGCTTCAGGCCAGGGCTTCAACCCTCTGCGCCACAGCGCTGGCTCCAAACTTATATTTTAAAAATTATTTATTAGAGAGATTCCCATCCATGGGTTTACCCCCGAAATGCCTACAACAGCTGGAGCAGTACTGGGCCAGAAATAAATCCTAGAGCCAAGAATTCAAACCAGGTCTCCCACATGGGTGGTAGGAACCCAATTATCTGAGCTAACGCTTGTTGCCTCCCAGGGTCTTTGTTAGCGAGGAGCTGGAGTCAGGAGCTGACTCTAGAGTACTGAACCCAGATCTTCCAACATGGAGTGCTAAGCTAGACACTTGTTCCCAGACTTATTTTTTAATTCCATTTTTCCATGAGCTTTGGAAGTCCCCTCATATTAGCTGTAAGGGTGGGAGAATTTCCCAGGGACTCTGTGCGCTTTTGGTGCCCAGTGCCATGTGCACAGAGCTCCTCCTCTCTGCCCACTCCTCTGTGTCATCACAATGGGTCATTCGGCCTGAGGGGCGGCAGAAGGGTTTCCAGCAGCCATTCTCACACAGTGCGGCTAGCAGTAACTTAGAGGCAGGTGGGACCCCACAGTTGTACCCATCAAAGTCAAAATGAGGGGCCCAGCATTGTGGTGCAGAGGGTTAAGCTGCTGCTTGTGATGCCAGCATCCCATACTGGAGTGCTGGTTCAAGTCTCAGCTGCTCCACTTCTGATCCAACTCTGCTAATGTACCTGGGAAGGCAGTAGAATATGGCCCAAGTCCTTGGCCACTGCAACCACATGGGAGAGCCAGATGGAGTTCCAGGCTCCTGGCTTCAGCCTGGCCCAGCCCCAGCCATTGTGACCATTTGGGGAGTGAACCAGCAGATGGATGATCTCTCTCTCTTTCGCGCTCTCTCTCTCTCTCCCTGTCTCTAACTTTGCCTTTCAAATACATCAGTCTTTAAAAACAACAGCAACACAAAAAAATGTTAAAGTGAGAGCGTCTCTACTCAGTTGCCCTGTAGCTCCAGTTGCCTGCAGGTGCTCCTGTGCTGCCCAGTCTAATGGAGGGGAAGTCTGGGGAAAAGAGACAAGGACAGAGCTACAGTTACGATAGCTGACTTCTGCATGTTAGTGGCCAACCTGCGAGTGCTTTGTTAGAGCTCTTTGTAGGGGAGTGGGGGCCCCTTGATAGCTAAGCTTCATGAGCTTTACAATAAATTCATCTCTATTTGCTTGTAACACAATCTCAGGACAAAGCAGAAAAACAAAAATCCAGTACTCTGCCCGGGTGCCCCAGCTTTCTTGTTTTCTCCAGTCGGCCTTACAGCTCCGTTGACACTACATTTCTCAAGTCCCAGCCTTAACATGTGGGGGTCCCATCACTCCCTGATGGAGCAGCCCTTTTGTCCATCCAGATCCAGCTGCTCTGCTTGGTGTTTTCAAAACATACGTTGTATTTTCCTGCTCTTCTTCTGGCCTGTGTTTGCCAAAGCCCTCTCTCCAGGGCCTAGCCCCAGACTCCTTCCTTCACAGACCTGTAACTGGAGGGGCCTCCTTCCCAGATGCCCTGTCCCATCTTTCATCCCCCATCCAGTTGGTAGTCTTCCCACATTAATTTATCCCTGGTCTGGGTGGCATACTTACCCCACGGTGGGCTCTGAATGTTCATTGTCCTCTGCGCATCTCTGATTTCCTAGAGCGGAAAGTGTACATTAGGGGGCTCTGACCCCGTGCCACCCACTTGTCTGTCCAGCTTCCCAACGTAGCAGTGTTTCTGATTTGTGATTTTTCTTGCAT